ACAAAGAAACGACAACGACAGTCACTATCAGTGCAAAAAAAGAGAACCTTAGATCAACATCAATACAACAAGAAAGCACAACCCTAGGAGGGGGGTAGCAGGACTCTTGGAGCACATCCTGTAGGCTGACGAGGAAAAAGTTTCCTTTGTCACGACGTTGATGTCCTCAAAGGGACGCTGTCTGGGCAATCGGGTCGTCCTCGGGCGTACGCAAAGGATAGTCGAACAGAACTAGTGGCAGAGCAGAGGAGACGTCGGGGCTCTTTGGTCGGGTGCAGTCAGAAAGAAGAACCCTGAACAAGTAAACAAATATTTATACACAGCACTGGCTGAGTACCCGCCGGAAATGTATTTTTCAAGCCTTTTTTGGCGCCTGCGCATGTGTTCCGAACTCGCACGCTCTTGCCGCTACCGTAATCAACAAATCAGACGCGCTCCTCTATTCTGCACGCTCCTTCCCTGGCATAGTTGAGCATTCAAACATACGACAGCAGGTACGCGCAGCTACGGAATAGAATTGTTGAAGCATAGCAGATTTTAAACGACAACAGAAATGAAGCGATTAGTCCAGTCATTCAGAACATTGTCATGGATTCTGCATGTCATGGAAATTCAGGTATCGCGAACCACACAGCATTTCATTGACAATAACTGTTGGGCAAGAAGAAGTCCACGTTCACTAGCACGGCATCGTGGCATTCCTCTTTGATACGATATCTTAGTTTTGTTGAAAAATAAGGGAGAATGCTTGGGATTTCTAAAGTTCCATAATGTGCAGAATTGTGATAATATTCTAAACGACCACAATGACGCAGCTCCAGCAATCGTTAATTAGAAACAAGAGAAAAAGACGATCTGAACTCGACACCTGACAACGATGGCAGAGCAATCGCTTTTCGAGAAATAGGAAAAACTAACATTTGCAAATTGAACTTGCACTGTCGACATTTGAATTCGCATTTTGGTTCTACACATGTACTCGATGGAGACTCCATCCAAAAGATTTTATAAATACAGTTTTCGCAATGTAGTTTGCTAGGATCTCCATTCTGCGACGTATTATAGTTGTACCAAATATACGTGTTTTCTTTGCTGCAGAACGTTTATGAAGATGTAAATATTAATTCTCCGACCAAGTCGTCCTTTTCTTGTACTTGAAGTGTTCGAAGAGCCCGTGTCATTTCGAGTTTGTTTGCAACAATCCAATCTTGAAAGAATTCAGTAATTCCAGTAAAAAGTTGAACTGACTAGACGCACAACAATCGTTGAGAACCATAGCTGAATACTACATACTCTAAATAAGCTCGCACTAATTGAGACCCCCTTATCGAAGAAACGTAATACAGTAGGTATCTTAGGGATGAGAAAATTCGGCAACACTCCACTTCTTCATTCGCACGTTGCAGGATGTGCCTTCCTGGAGCAATTCTAAACTTGTATTCGCCCAGAATAAAACAAGATAAATGTTCTCTTGAATGGGAACATCCAAACAAGACCCATCATATCTCATGTGTGGGTGAGGTACCCATCCACGCGCTCCCCATCGCCGGCCTATGGAGTGTTCGTGCTAAGCATAAGGCTGCGTTTATACTTTGCGGTAGCGCTTCCAGCGTACGCCAGCGGCAGTGCCGGGGAAAGGATAGATATCGATCTAGCTTCCCAGCGTCACCAGCGTACGCTGGCGTAGCGAGGGCACGGGAAGCATAGCTATCGATCTAGCTTCACCAGCGTTTCTCAGCGTTTCTCCAGCGTTTCTCCAGCGGCACCAGCGTTTTGCTAGCGCTTGCAGCGGCAGGGAGTAGAGACTATGGGAGAGCTGGAGAGTACAAAACACATCGATTTCTCGTAGTGAAATGTGGCGCGTGTAGTGCACCACATCAGTGGGCACTACCGTACTCCAAACGATCAATACCGTGATTTGAGTGTTGAAACTGATGTTTTTGGGTCGTCTTCGGCCGTGATTTAAGTGTTGAAATCGATGTTTTTAGTCGTTTTCGGTCCGCTTCGCCCGTTCCCCTTTGATGATGTATTTCGTTCATTTTTTTCTGAATCTTTCTTAGCGAAATTGCAATTTGTCCTTGCTTTTTCACTTTTATTTATGTAATTACGATTTGCAATTGAAGACTGTGGCTTTGCAGTATTAGTAGGTGATATTCATCGCTGTTTTGGTTTCTAATCCTTTTCTAGTTCATCGTTTCGTTTCAGGACGGATTTAATGTCCCTGCCATTCGCAGCTATTGAGTGCTACCGATTAATGGGTGACACAGAACGGAAAAAATAAGAACTTTGTTCCCTGTGACGGGAGAAGCTGTAAGCCGCGGTGCGGAATCGGAATCCTTCGCAGGAATGAAGAGCCGGAACGTAATCATGGAATATGACCCAAAAAAGAGAGCAGGCACAGTTCGGCGACGGAGAGGGGGAATTGCACTTTTGCTTATTTCATTGTCACGTTCGTTGCTATACGATTACAAAAATCTCTACTTGGTGGCTCGACGCGAAAATGGTAGGCAGCAAAAGTACAAATTCCCCCTCGTACATCACCGATCAGCACCAAGAGAGCGCTTATGCAAAATACCTAAGACAGTCCATATTTTCCGAATGAAAACGAAAAAGGACTAGTGCACTCGAAGGGAAAAACAAAAATGAAATCAAACATCGAACAAATGAACTTAAACCATTGTCGACATACCATCAATTGGTTGGACGTGAGCCAGGTAGCACTCAATAGCTTGGAATGGCAAGGACATTAAATCCGTCCTGAAACGAAACGATGAACTAGAAAAGGATTAGAAACCAAAACAGCGATGAATATCACCTACTAATACTGCAAAGCCACAGTCTTCAATTGCAAATCGTAATTACATAAATAAAAGTGAAAAAGCAAGGACAAATTGCAATTTCGCTAAGAAAGATTCAGAAAAAAATAACGAAACCCATCATCAAAGGGGAAGGGGCGAAGCAGGCCGAAGACGACCCAAAAACATCAGTTTCAACACTCAACTCACGGTATTGATCGTTGGGAGTACGGTAGTGCCCACTGATGTGGTGCACTACACGCGCCACATTTCACTACGAGAAATCGATGTGTTTTGTACTCTCCAGCTCTCCCATAGTCTCTACTCCCTGCCGCTGCAAGCGCTAGCAAAACGCTGGTGCCGCTGGAGAAACGCTGGAGAAACGCTCGAGAAACGCTGGTGAAGCTAGATCGATAGCTATGCTTCCCGTGCCCTCGCTACGCCAGCGTACGCTGGTGACGCTGGTGAAGCTAGATCGATATCTATCCTTTCCCCGGCACTGCCGCTGGCGTACGCTGGAAGCGCTACGCTACGCTGCCGCAAAGTATAAACGCAGCCTAAGTCTGAACAAATACAACGGAATAAACTGGAGAAAGTCAACTGCGATCGTGATATACTCTCTCCGATTGTTCAGACTTCGTATACGGATAGGGAATGCTTTTGAAGCAATCTCGAAACGGATTTCTTACCTGTAGTCAAAAACCTCGCATAAGCATCCTCGCCGTGATACCCTCTGAAGCTTGAGAATGTGGAAAGCAGGTAAGTGTTCACATGCTAGCACCGCATTAAGAGACATCGTGAATGTAACGGAAAGCAATGAAAACTGCTACATCTACAATTCGCTTCCATGTCGTAGATGGCTAGGGATGGGGTGAGATAAGATGGGCCAGACATGCGTATGTAACAGAGCGTGGCGAGTGACGCCGTGCCCAAGAGACGAGTTGTGCTGTCCGGCTCTTTGAAGTTAACTGTTGAAGGGACGGGAGAATAAATATCGCCAAGTCCAAGTTAGTATTTTGCAGGGCCGCCAAAAGATGAGAGTTAGCGACCACACAAAAATATCGACATGTAGCAAGGATTGTCACCTTTAGGCTACAGCGCGCGCTCGCATGTGCCGAAGATGACAGTCAAAAATCTTGGCTAGTGGTCAATGAGTACGACATCACGGGCACCGAAGCGGTCGTTCCACAGAATACAAAAAAATTTCGCGCCACTGAGCGTGAGGGAAGGCGGCAGGAGGGCCACCCCTGTGAGTGTTCCCAATGTGGTTTCTTATAGTATAGGTACTGTTCTTGTCAATTGCCCTGTAAACTGCTGTTTAGTGCCATTGGGAGACATTTCTTCATTTTTTTTCAAATTCAGGCCAGTCATTCTGGCAAGTTTGACCGGAGCCAATAGAACAAGACCTACAGATTGTTGATGAGTCTGTTCGATATTCCGTATGTTTAGTTTGCGGTATGTATACTGGCAAACCCCCTACAAATCCTATCCGCAGCCTCAACGCGTCTGACGACCCGAATCGGACGTTTGCGATTGAGAAGATGTGGTTCAACTCCAGCTTTGACAATCTTCGTCGCCTACGCACCAACATCAAGCTACGACGAGGATGAGCTCGAAGCGTTCTATATGGAATTGGAGAAGTTCTACAAGGAAGATCATACCTTCTTCAAGGTCATCGTCGGTGATTTCAACGCTAAGATCGGACCAAGAAGAACGGCTGAAGAACTTCACATCGGAACTCACGGAACGGAGTGGAATGAGCAGGGTGAAAGGCTGTCTGAGTTTATCATGTCGACCCACACCATCCATGGTAATCGCAGTTCCAGAAGCCCTACTCTCTACGCTGGACATGGGAGTCTCCTGGTGGACAATTCCATAACGAGATCGAGCCACATCACCTTCAAGATCCGGCTGCGGCCTTCTTTGCGCAAGATTCCGCTTTTTGATGCGGGTGAGAGTGAGAGCCGCATCAAGAAGCGAAGCCCCAAGACCGTCATCAACTGGGATCACTTCACTTCTCTCGCTGGGCTCTGGGAGGATTCCGTCATCGACAACATCGACGAGGAATACGAACGGCTTGTCGCACATCTTCACGACTGCGCCAAGAAGTCAGAGAGTTCCAAGATTAGAAGCGTCTATCTCTGGAAACTCTCGAGCTGATTCGCCAACGTGGAGCCGCACGAGCCGCAGGCAATTACCAGCTGACGTCTGAGCTTGCGAAGCTATGCAGAGAAGCGATAAAGGAAGACCTCAAGGAGAGAAGAGCAGCAGTACTGGTGGAAGCCGCAGAGGGGGGAAGAGCATCCGCAACACCCGCCGCGACTTCGCCAACTGCAAGACCAAGATGACCGCCCTCCGACGTCCGGACGGAACAATCACCGCATTCAGAAGGGCAATGGAGAAGGTGCGGAAGGTCTCCCTTCCGAAGTCCGACACGCCATCTCGTCGGTGAAGAATCGTACGGCACCCGGTCCCGACAGGATCAGACCCGAACATCTGAAGAATCTTCCGCCAGTTCTTGTCAAAACTCTGGCTCGACTCTTCACGCGCTACCTGTCGGAATGCAAGGTACCCACCTCGTGGAAAACCAGCAAGACTGTGTTGCTGTACAAGAAGGGAGACCTGTACGACATTGGCAATTATCGCCCAATCTGCCTGCTGTCTGTAGTCTACAAACTCTTCACACGAGTCATCCTGAACAGGATTGGCAGAACACTAGACGAAGGACAGCCATGCGAGCAAGCAGGGTTTCGAAGAGGATTCAGCACGATCGATCACATCCACACGGTAACGAAGCTCATCGAAGTATCGCGAGAGTACAAGATGCCGTTATGTCTCACGTTCATCGACTTGAAGAAAGCCTTCGACTCCGTTGAGACAGAAGCGGTTATCGAAGCCCTGGGCAACCAGGGTATTCCTACTCAGTACATCAGGATTCTTCGTGAGCTCTACAGCAACTTCACGACCAAGTTTTCGAGGGAGTAGCGAAGGGAGTAGCGAAGAAGACGAAGAACACCAAGCTCCGTGCCCACCTCTTCGATTCCGCGGTCCTTCCTGCCTTGACGTACGCCTCAGAGACTTGGACTCTACGAAAGCAGGATGAGCATGCGGTTGGCGTTATTCAACGCGCCATCGAAAGGGCGATGCTCGGAGTTTCCCGCTACACGCAAGTGAGAGAGGGAATCCGGAGCTCCGCACTCCGCCGACGATCGAAGATCAGAGACGCCGCCGCATTTGCCAAGGTTTCGAAGATCAGGTGGGCCGGGCACGTCATGCGTTTCGAGGACGACCGCTGGACCAGAGCGATCCGACTGGATTCCACGGGATGTCAAGCGAACGCCTGGACGACCGCCGTCAGACTTCTTCGTGAAAGCTCTGAACGAATGGTATGAAGTTCATCGTGTCCCTCGAGCAGAGAGAGTTCATTGGGCAACTCTTGCACGTTGCAGGGACGAATGGAGACGTTACTGGCGCCCGCTCGAGGAACTCGATGATCAACGGGAGCACAGGATGATACAGGTGATACTGGCAAACGCTTACAGGTATACTCTCCGCAAGGATGTTAGCGCCAAAAACTCGACATTTGATATCAACTCGCTAACAACAACACAGGTCGACATATTTCAATCGCAATAGCTGAAACTTCAGAACAGTAGTATCAGGAAGCCGTCTAACGAGCTCGCACGTGTCTTACGCTTTGCAATTGATTATCGTTTCGGTGAATAAGAGAAAATTCACTCTGAAATTTCCTTTTAAGTGTTGTGGAAGGTTGTCCCACTTGATGCTTACTTTCTGTTGAAATTTTTCTTATTCTTGGGATCTCCACTGACCTCGTTAGAATTGTCACAGCAAACCCAGAACGAGGGGGTTATTAGCGGGGTGGTTCACCAAATACTAATAATAAATATCTACGGATCATTTCAGGTTCTCGAAAACGACAACTTGGTCATAACCCAGCCGCGCACCACACTACCGTGTTATGAAGTGTTCAAGAAACACTTGCCCTTAATTGTCCTGCGACAAGAAAATAGGCCATCAAGCAAAGGCCAGGGTTTCGAGAAGGCGAAAAAAAGAAAAAAAAAGAAGAAAAAAAAAGAAAAAAGGGAAGGCGAACCTGGAGAAACCATGATACTTATAATAGAACTCGTAGGAGAACACGGGACTCATAGCAGTGTTATACTGTGGAAACACATTAGCGTTGATCAGAATTTTGTCGGAGACAGATAAATTGCAGAAACCGAGTAGGGATCGACGTCGCGATGACGATGGAACAATCCTGGATGCTCCGTCACTAAAGGTATTCATTTTATTCAATACTCCTCATAATTATACTTCTAATTGTTGACTTTGGGGATATTTCATCCAGAGGGCTTTTTGAGAATGCCTCCAAAGCAAAAAAATGTGTTACATATAAGTGCGTTTGCTTCTTTGGATCAAACTTTATTTCAAAGACCGCGTTTGCGGCAAACTAAGGTGCCAGAATCATTAGATCGGTTCAAGATTGATGCAAGCGTTTGTGGCTCACAGCAGTCTATCCCATGTCCTTCGCCTCAAAAGCGAACTGATAATACGCGCCCCGACAGCCTCAGCAATAAGCTGACTCCGTCTTCGAAGGCGGATCCAACAAGTTCCACCTCTATCTTTTTTTATTATCAAGTTCGTTGGCAGATCATTGCTAATCTTATCGAAATAGGATAGGATGAGCAATGATCTCCGCTTACGTCGCAAACATGTTCAACGGTTTCGTTTTAGAGCCTACCGTACCATTTTCGGGTTTTTATCTGTCATTAGCTCGTGTACTTGTAGTACTGAATTCTAATGCTTCTGAGGCTCTACAACCTGCCGAATAGGCGATCGCCGGAATTGATGTTCTAAGAGGCATAGGATATTTCTTTTTATTTTCTCCAGAGAGTTCGCCTCCGCCCCATCAGCGGCCGTGTGCGTTCATGCTGATATATATTTCGTCCAACGCCCAACGTCATATCCTTATTCCGTTGCCATTCTTTATCCACTCCTGCGAGCTTTGAGAAACCAGAATGACGAACGTTTTGAAATTTATACTTACCAAGCAACATGAACCCTAAAAATAGAACGCAGCAACCGCATCAGGATTTCAGGGTTATGTCTCACTTCATTTCGTCCTCAACTGATTGCCTATCGCTGGTTACGCTTTTTCCACTCTTCGGGGCTCTTTTGGAACCGAAAACTACGAATTTTTGAAAAATGTAGCTCACTAATGTGCGCACGCCCCGCCCACAGTGGGCGGGGCTTAGCTTAGTTCATGTGTGTTCCGTACATCTTGGCCCATGCCCTACCCAACCCACCCTTGACCCGCCCCCTCCAACTGGCTCTTCAGGTGATTCCGAATTTCCGGACAGACAGACAGACAGACAGACAGACAGACAGACAGACAGACAGACAGACAGACAGACAGACAGACAGACAGACAGACAGACAGACGTTGCCGTTTAGATAGAGTAAGATTGAGTGCGAAAACGACAGGGTGTCTAAAATCCTCAGTTTCGTCTCAACACTCCAATTAAGCACTTGAAAATTAACGTAAATTGAAACTTCGAGGTGAGCAACAATTAACACGGTATTTTATAAGGCAAAAGGGCCTTCATCAAGTGGTATAAAAAATGATCACAGAACATTTCATTTTGATGCAAAATTTGAGACTGGAAATTCCCCGTTCGGCTACATGAGAGCACAACGTGCCAGAAAAATTGGCTCCCACTTTTTTTCAGAGAGTGGATACCTCAGTGGACTCCGATCTTGGTTCATTACGGGACGCTGTGAAAATGCTGGTAAATTCTCGCGAAAACGCGAACAGGATCCAGACGACCTCTGGGGAATCTGTAATCGGCGAAGACATGAGTGAAAACGTTGGCCTTTCGACAACAGATACGGGTTTTCTCGTAGAGAAGGCCGAGGAAGCAGCCAATGAAATGCAAAAAGACGATTTACGGCAGAATTCGAATGAGACCATAACTACTGAAATTGAATATAAGAGAGAGCCTCCTGAGATGGCCAAAAGGGGTCAAACTTCCAGTAAAAAATTTCGAGGGGATACAAGATCGATCAAGAAGCCATTGGCTGGAAGCAAAGAGATTCCGCTGGAGAAGTCTGACTTGAATATGGCAACATGCAAAACGCAGTTGTCAGCGAAAACAACGACTTCACTGAAGTCATCCACAGCTGCCAAACGAAAAAAGAAGGGGAAGACAACTAGTAGCGAAATTATCGCCTGTTCGTCTTCCAAGGTCACACCGAGCAACTCACGCGAGGCTTCCTTCCAAGATGAGCCGAAGCGTAAAGAAGTAAGCTTTTTCTGTAGTGGTGGTGATCTCCTGTGGACACCATTCTCGCTTTTGGCTTCTTTTGACGTCCGAAAGATTATTATCAGTCAAGGGAATTTTTGCACTTTTTCAGGACCGACCGCTCTCCCTCAAGCGGCGCTGAGAAGCGCTCCATGTTCCAATGCTAACATAATCATGTACTCAAACATTTAATTTTAATTTTCTGAAACAATGCTGGAGTTTGCCATGTTGTGCCTGTGTGGACCAACTCCCGCTTTGGTCTTAAGGCTTGCACAATGTGGGCTTCATAAGATTACTTTAAAAGCTTAACGTTGTAATTCGTTCACTTATTCGTTGCCTGTGCGTGTCTTCATACTATTAATAAATATTATTACATGAAGCATTGGCTTGAGTACACGTAAGAGCTATCAAAGGGGCAGTGCACGCCGTTGGTGTGGTAATCACAACGAGGGAGGGGATCGTATTTGACCCCAAAGGAGGGTAGGGGCGAGTCATAAGGTTAGCGTTCACTCAGGAGTGGAAAGAGCAGTAATACTGAGATGTCGTACACTGACTGATTGAAGAACGATTTAATCGTGGTTCCTGCTGTGAAGAATACCTGAAGATTCAGCTGCTGACAGAAACAAGTCACAAGTTCAGAAGTGTGGAACGGGCAATGGCAGGAGAATTGTTTGTCGCCAACAATGACGTCGTGAATTATTGAACAAACAGTATACAGAAAACGCTGGGACCTTTCTTAACCGTAGGAGTACATCTACTTGCACAGCAAAGCGTTACCTGAACTTAAACCTTCCTAAGACGTCTGCATGGGAGCCGAATGCATGGCGAAACACAGAGGGGATGTCAAATAAATTATTTTCCGCAGTGGATTTCTCACCCGACGGTGGGGCGGTGCTGGAATTATTGTTCGTCCGGCTTCATAAGAAAAAGTAAGTGTGCGTCAATAACATCCAAGTTAAACGGAGACATTCAAGAAAAATTCAGAAATTGCGAAAATAGGAAGAAGAAATATTTTCTAAGAGTAGTTCATGCTAAAATCATGCAAAATGTAATCTAGTTTCAGCAAAAATACTTCTCAGAAATGATGTCGGGAAAGAGAATGACTCCAGCTTTTACAAGCTGAGTACAACAGAAAACAGCAAAAATGCCGCAGAAATCAGCTGACTGGGAGCGTCAGCAATTATCGATCGGCGAGAGTCCAGACGGAAGAGTGAGCAGATAGTGCGGCGGCGTGTGTTCGAGCGCAGAGGCAATGAAGATAACCGCCCCAGGAATCACCTTTTCACCTATACACAACACCCAAACGCTCCAGCGTACTCGTAGGAGCGCTCCACCGTCGGATGAGAGCTCCGGTCACGTGACATCTTGAACTTTTGTGCATGGTCCTGTTACGAAACCCTGTGACGCAGACGGATAGAGGGCAGCGGCTGCCAAAGCATCGAAACGTGCAAAAAACGTATGGCGAGCCAGGAAACGGGATTTTCCAAGGGGAGGGGACTCCGGGGTGGGTGAGCTACTTATAGTCGGTGAAAAGCTGGAGTGAGCGAAGTCACAACGGCCATAGAGTGCCATGCGGACGAGAGAGTGCAGAGAAAAAGAGAAGATCGACGCGTTCAAAGGGATGAGTTCAGGTTGTCCGTAGACCTCCGCGGCGACGCCATTTCGTCAAAAACTCCCATTTGTCGTTCGGTGCATTCGCGGCGGACGTCAAACGCTCGTCCTGTGAGTTATTGGTCGTTTCGGTAGAACCTCCCGTGTTTCGTTTTTTTTTTGACATTTATTCCTTTCTTTCTCCCAAGGCAAATTTTATGCAATTTTTTTGAAGACAAAGTAGGCTTTTTGACTCTTTGGAGCTGACTGGAAGCGAACGAGCAATATTGCTACTAGAATTACAAACAAATATATGCAAATAATCCTACTATATATAATCCGCTAAGTTTGTCTGTTGGTGTGTGTGTGTGTGTGTGTGTGTGTGTATGTGTGTTTGACCGGAAATTCATAACTTCCTTCAAAAGAGTGATAGAGCGCTCAAACTGATAAGTCATGTAGGGGTCGTGCAGGAACACTATTGGTGGGTGGCAGGAACTGATAAGAGCTGATAAGATACCGCGAGCAGCCTTATAAGGGGAGGATCACCAAATTCATAGCGCGGGCCACAGCAACGATGAGACCTTGGTTCCAGGAAGTAAGATAGGGGGCAGGATGGGAACATTATTGGTGGGTGGCAGGAATTGATAACAGCTGATAAGATACCATAAGGAGCCTTAGAAGGACACCTAACTCACAACGTCGACCAGCACAACGGGACGTCGGTTTCCAAGAGGCAAGATAGTGTGCAGGATGGAACCATTATTGGTTTGTGGCAGGATATGATAAGAGCTGATAAGATACCCCGAAAATTCACAGCAGAGTTGTTGCAACACTGTGGAACTGCTCCAGCAAGTAATTCAGGGGTGCTCAGGGAACATTAAAGGTGGGAGATAAATTCTGTCAGTGTCCGACAACGGCTTTTGGGACTCCGTATATGCTCACATCATCGTGGCCAAATTTCTATTCCTAGCAATATCCCTCAGTTTAGCGGTCGGAATTGCTTCCACCGCTAAACGCTCGAGTTTCACCGGAAAGGGAATTGTTGGCCAGTGAGGAATGATAAGAGCCACTATGATTTCGACTTTTTTATCATCGAGATTCTTCCCACCGCTATGCTGTCCTATCCCCAACGAATGGTGCTTTAGAAATATGATAGGCACCAAACACTGGCAAATGTTCATTAAAATGGAGAAACATGATGAAATGGGTCGTCCTCGAAACATGGGAATTAGGCTAAGTGTTAGTGCTCAGGACAAATCCTGTCAGTTATCGTAGTACCATGGGTTTAACCATGCGCGCAGTAGTGCGCGTCAGCCAGACTGGTACACGAATAGTACAATAATTGTACTAAAAACATTTCTTGTGAGTCTTATTGGGATTTTCTCCTGTTTTACCGGAGATTTTCTCCCGTTTTGCTTTCAAAGAAAGTCGATTTTGATGCGGAAACTGATTTGGATGACTCCGCCATCCAAGTTGACTTTCTCATCAAAATTACTTCTTTCTAATAAAATACAAAAAAAAACTTGCGGTGGTATATTTGTGTTACTTGCATCATTAACCGTAAATAAACTCAAGTAAAAAAGAAAAATCACAAGAAAACGGGGAAAAGGCGTGTGTGATCCCGGCAGTACAGGGTTCATCGAAAGAGGAGTTCCTGCGCGTACTCCCGGAAGTACACAAAACGTGGGAAAATTCAAGTATACTGCTCGATATTACCTACTTTTCGTCTATTTTTTGGGAGGGGGATCGTATTCAGCAAGAATTTATAACAACGCGCGTGTCCTCTATAATGGTCATGCCGCCTACCTGTACAGGTTATTAAATATCTTCAATATGTTATAGACGGGGGCCAATAATTTATTAAATAGATATGCGTGCATGCCATGAATTCTATGGTGCTACACACAGAAGCTCCAGAAATGGTGGACAAGTGCGGAAATGAGGAAATGAGAGAAATCAACGGGAAACAACGCGAGAGATCAATAAAAGACCAAGAAAGACAAGAGACTACAGAACACAGGAAATAAAAACCGAGAAGGAGTCAGCTCATAAGAGATCATCAGCAGTTCGATTACAGTACACACTGATAGCTCCGTGATTTGGCAACTTTCACACAGGACAACAAAGAGAACACACAGTTATAATAGGTCAGCGATTGCTGTCATCTAATACGCGTACGATACCGAACGTTTTTGAATAGAAATTCAACGTTGAATTAGCTTTTCTAATGAATTGGGTACTTTAAAAAAGCATGCAGTTAGGACCATAAAGCGGCAGCCCAACATCATCTAACTAGGCTTTATCTACGTATACAGATATAGAAATTTTGCAAAAGGCCCTAAATGCCAAAGATCTAGGATGGGTACAAACAGAATTGAAATTGTTACTGTACGAATCGTGACAGCATGAAAATACCCTTGCATTGCTTCACAAAACAACTCAGTAAACATACTATATTTGTGAACGAAAACGAAATGGCAAATAAAGCTTTAGAAATCTCTGGGAGGGGTGGGGGGGGGGAGGGTCAATCATCTAAATGCCGGACTTCAGCGTTCCATTCGCGGCCGACGCCTTCACCTTCATTTGTCCTGCCATCAACGGATTTATCGCATATAACCAGTCATACATCTGAAATATTGAGAACATTGAACAGCCAAGTATAGTCGAAATAAAGATTATTGGAGAACACGGAGATTGAGCGTGCGGTTGCCAATTAACTGGTAACGTGTTTATCCATTTTCGCGGGATATACAGCCAAGCCTACCACTCCGCTAGCGAATATTCCATCCCAGACCACTACGCAGACATCTTTGAAGATTTCGCGCGATTGAGTGATCTCCTCTAATTTGATGGCCAGGCCCGCAGAAGTATGACGGTCGTACCGTATCACGGTTGTGTGAAACACACACAGGGTTGTACTTTCCCGCTGGGGAGGAGGGGTCGTATTTGGTCGTTGGAAGAAGGGGGGATCGTATGTCCCTTTGAGAGAAATTCGCAGCGTCAGGAAAAAATTGTAGTAAAATTTTTTTAGGTTGTTGACTTTTCGCGTGATTTTTTTCCGATTTTTTCTGTTTCATGTGTACAATAGACACCCCCTCCCCCGCCGAGAGCAGAATTTCTGAGTGCAAGTAGAAAAATTTTCGGAAAATTTCAGTAAAATGGTAGGAAGTTGGAGGAAATCTGAGAATTTTCCCGCTTCACACTGGCTATGGCAGGTAGGTGTTGGGAAAGAGGGGGGAAGGGGGTGGGATCGTAGCGAGACCCTGGTTAGGAGGGCGTTGGGAGGTCGTACCAGGATCCTTTTCCGGAGGGGGGGGGTTTCGTACTACACCACCATTTTATACATCACGATGATGCACCCTGATTCTATTGCCTTGTTTACTGCGGATGCAGGGCGTGTCAATGGGATGACTTTAGCGCGGTGCCAACTCATTCTCCAGCAATTGTTGAACCATGGGACAAACAACGATTGATGGAAAACGGGCTGGAGCCGCGCCAAACTCAGCCCCTGGACACTATCCTGCATCAGCAGCGAACAAGACTGGCTACAATGAGTACAAATGAAAGTAGGACGCGTGACCCCAAGAGAGTTTTACATTGAAAGAGGAAAATTTTGCAAAAAGCACAAACCTCATCACCGGGCATGATCTGCATTAGGAAACCGCGATGATTCGTGCAAACAGAAAATGTGTTTGGAACTTTGAGCATCGCCTGCTGATCCTCTGAGTATTCTACTCTAGCGTTTGCTAAGTTAATGATGCCACGAATCACCTGAAAATAAAAAAATAATAGAATGTGTAGCTGTAAATGTAACCCTCTCTGTGACCTCAATAGAAGCTAAAACGGAACTTCAAGTGTTTAAGTTAAGTGATTTTGTTGATGCTGAAACATAAGTGATCTGGGAATTATGAAGGATTTTATTTCCGAGTAGTCAAGGGCAACGGGTAGCGTTCAATACAACAACTTGTAGGCACTTATAAAGGCAGACGTACAGAAACTATGAGGGGGCAGAAAAGATATCTCTGGTGGTCTAGAAACCATGGATAGAGGGTCTGCTGTAGAGCCAGCCCTGATGGAGGGTCGTAACTGGGGTGACGGTGGACTTGTGTGTAGTTTTCCTCAACGTAACGGCTTCCCACGGGAAATCACTTCAAGTGACGCCTATCATTTTTCCGTTAGCGTATGATACTTGTTAACCTTCCCATGCAGACAGCATCCAGGCACTGTCTCTCTTCTTTTCTCGATGGCTACCTGACTGGGCTGGGCAAAGCAAGCTGCCGTCGAACTTCTTTTATTGGTAATTCTGATTTTGTTATTAACTCTGTTTTTTTAGTAATTCTGAGTCTGATTTTCAGTTCTCATATTTCAGAAGATGCTGTCCCAGAGTCGGACTCACGAACTCTCATTATCACCTCCAGCGAGGAAATTCGGCACTAATCACCCTTAACTGCCCCATTCTTTTGTGCCTGGAAAAAGTCCGTCAAAAACAGTCCGGTTTTTGACGGACTTTTCCTTTGTGAACAGAATTGGCTAAAAATTTGTTCTCTGGTGTGGTTTCACCTCCTGAACATGAATATCATATCGGCTCGATGATTAAGGGTACTTTGGCGCCGGCGCCAAAATACCCAAAATCACCGATTTGCTTGAATAGGGGTAGTCTTACCTCCTGAACACAAATATCACAACCGCTCGGCCTGAAACCTTCTGCCGCTCCCGCCACAGGGGGCGGCAGAAGGCCCCGAATCACCAGCGCCTGTGGCGCGGGCGCCAGAACTTCAGACCAGGTGAATGTGATATTCGTATTCAGGAGGTCAAACTACCCCAGGAGACAACATTTGAGCCAAATCTGTCCACGGAGAAAAAAGTCGGTCAAAACTGGCTCAATTCTGGATGGCTGGGGCAGGAAAGGGTAAATAGTGCCGGAAATTCTTGTCCCATTTTTGAACGCGTTCTGTAACAGAACAGCCTAAATTGTATCCGCTGAGCCAAGCGCTGACTTACATATTGTGAGCCCAAGGCTCATGTTCTGGCAGTTGTAAGCCTTCAGTAGAGGAGTCTTTTAGCGACATGGAGAAATAAACCCATGCTACCTTAGCTAAGAGTAGAATTCGACACACTAAGAAAGAAGGCAAAGGGACTCACCAGATCCTTTTCGTCGCGGAAAAGCAGGATGTAAGGCCGTCGAACAACCACCCAACGTCTCGTCCAACCTTGCGTCTTCTCCTCCAAGAAGTTCATGTAGCCTTTGCGTGAGACAACCACGCCTACTCGTTCTTCCGTCACCTAAAGATTAACGATGTAGAGGCGGATAGCAGCACGTGCGTAAGCTTAAAGCGGTTGCAGGACCCTAGGCAAAGACCTGTTGCTGAACAATATACAGAGCTGTTGAGCATCCAGTAGAGATA